ATTCACCGAAAAATCAAATTGTTTGAGTTTCGACCTGAAATTTTGCCCACATGCAGGTCTTGTGATCTGTATATTAGTCTGAAAGTTTCAGCCAAAACGAATCCACTGTTTTCGAAATAATAAGTTTTCAAGAAAAGTCGATTCTTGTGGTATGTATACAACATGGCACTGTTGTCTTGAGATTGAAACATCTCGACAACGGCGCTTTCGCTTTGACTGAAAGTTTCAGACTAACACACGGATCACAAGACCTGTATGTGGGCAAAATTTCAGGTCGAAACTCCGCAGTTTGATTTTTCGGCGAATATCGTATCATAGGTGATAAATCCAGTAAAATGATCGTAATCTGAGAAGAAAGGCCCATGGGCCCTTGTCCTTTTGGGCTTTGTATAGTATCAAATGGACTCTACTTATCAGTAAAATATCAGCTTAAAAGCTTTGAATCACGTCGGGCGGTTCCCTCGTTAGTTATAATTTATCTGCTATTGTTAAGATGATTATCGGTTCTTCTATCAATGGGACAAAAGATAATAATCAAAATCTTATTGAAAATCTAAATTGAATCTCATTGAATAGATAGAAATGTTCAATCTATGTTATTTATATCAATAATTGATGAATATCAATCAATATATAATACAATCATCAACTAATTCTCATTCTATATGAGGTTTTATCAAGAAAAACGACTAAATAGAAGAGAAAATGTAGATATATGTTTGAGTAAGAATCTATGAAAATATCATTAGTGTTCAATTGATTATTTCATCAAGAAAATGTTTTTTCAAATTTATAATACATGAAGAATATAATAAATACACTCAATCAAGAAAAACGAATTTGACTTCGTCAATAACGAGTAGTTGATGAGAGAAAGAGAAGGTAAATCTTTTTGTTGATTTTTTCGGGGTAATATCTTATCGCCAATTCATCGTTTCGCCAATTGGCGAACATCCACTAGTAATTCGGTAATTGGAGAAATTCGCCAATGCGTGAACCAAGGAATGCGAAAATATTTTATTTATTGGCGAATGTCAGACTAGCAATCCGCCAATATGAATGAGTTGAATCGGAACTCAAGTATAGTACTTGATATTTTTAGTGCACAAACTAAATTAGTCTAGAAGCGCGGTTTTTGAGGCTACCTGCTCCTGATTACAGACATTAATGAGTTTAAAATTGTTCTAATTAGAAGTTAGACCAAGGGGAGGGGGGAACTGCTCCTGGATCCTTGGATTTTGACCGCTGCTGATAGATCTTGGTGGATTATAGAATCCACCAAGAGCCACCAGGAGTCACTTTCCCCCTTGAGTTAGACTAATTAGTTTGTTATTTCTTCTATTTTATTGTATATTATTCGAAAAAAGCAAGGCCTGCCCATTACATATATTAGCAATACAGAAGAGTTACCATGTCAGACCATAGCAGCCAGGTATGGGTCATCGTTAGAGATACGAAGTAACAAGTAATCCTCCATTACTGGTATAAGTAAAAAGGTAATGCCCTAATATAGAGTTTTAAAATTAAGATAGATTTTTCACTAGATATTTTGTATTAATTTAGTAAGTCTAATGGATCCGTGTGAGTTCCATAATTGTCCCGAAGGGACTGCGCTAACAAGCTTTTTCATATAACTACCACATTTCTTTCTTTCTTTATTTGAAATAAAAATAATATCAGCAAACTGAGCTTAGTTCGTACATTCCATGATTACAATTGGCGAACTTCACAATTGGTGAAATTACATAGACTCCTTTTTTCTGATTTGTTTTGTATTTGTGTACTCAATTTTGAACAAAATTGAAATGGAATAAATAGGAAAATATGAAGAATAATACATAGGAAAACGCGAAGAGTAATACATAGGAAAATGTGAAAAGTAATAAAAATCGAACAAAAACGAATGGCTAAGTGTCGAACAGTGAACAATGGAAGAATATGAGTTAGTAAAAATAGAATCAGCTTTTACTCAGCTATTCGATATTTATATGCATAGTTAATAAAAGAAAAGTGCAAATGAAAATGAATGTGTGTTCTCTCTATGTTCAGAATTCATTTTGAACAATAATCATTGAGAAGTCAATTTTCTTGAATCATATTTATTACTTTTGTTCGTGAATATGGTTTCTTCAATGTTGTTGGATTTTTACTTCGTGGCCGATAGCATAAATCTTCTGAGGATAATGGACACTGAATCTCAACTTGAAAATATTGATTCGATCGATGATCCATCTTCATTTCTATCATTCGATCCCAGTTTCTATAATGACGATCTAGATATGCTCGTCGATTTTTTGTACCACCTATAGCCCACAACATTAGGTGTCCAAACGGTATTTTCTCGAAAGGATTCTCCCAGTCGGATCGGGTTAAATAGTATTCAGGATAATCATGATAAGCCACGTCCTGAGCAAGTATATATTTTTGTCCAATTGCATCCCAACGAATGGCAATGAGGTCGAGAAATGGCCATTTACTCGTCCATTCTGTAGTCCCATCAGTCCAGAGACCTGGCGCCAGGCATGGACTGTCTATATGAGTAACTTGAAGTCCCCATCCTGGAACGTCAATTATTTCGAGTCCATATTCAGCAAAATTGCTGCTCAGAGCCTTAATTTTATCTAAATCATCTTGGAGAACATCGAAGTCGGCATCGTTATCATGCTTGATAAGACCACCATTTCGAATGGCACCTAATAAAGTACCACCTTCAATCGTGTACCGAATGCCATGTTTATCGAAGAGACCACCAGTCACTTCAACGATATCGTACAGCTTGTCGACTTCAATATCATTCAGCTTCTCTTTCTCCAATCTTCTTCGCATATTTGCATAGTAAGCAAGAAGTTTACTATCAGCATCCGTGATGACCATCGGATTTTCCATGTTCAAATGACGTATACACACGTTAATATCTAGTTAAAAATATTCAATACGAAATAGCTATCAAGTAAAAGATAGGTTCAATTCGGATTCTCACACGACATCTCTTTTTTCTCAAAGCTTCATACTGGCATCGAAGGATTCGAGAGAAAATTCTTCAGAAATATTGAAGAAAGCTTCTGTCGATTCCAATGGAATGAACGGCAAGTAAATCACAAGATACATGCAATGTATGAAGATTTAATGGTTTAATGTAATAAGAATAAGAAGAGATGGCGAAAAATGCACTCCAGTTATATACTTATTTGATAGAACACAAGAAAAAACGTTTGTCGAAGTTCACTTCAATTCAACTAAATATCAATTAATTGATGATATTAAAAATGAAATTTATACTGAAGTATTCCTTTAGAAAAATCTATATAGCTATAAATCCGTATGTAACTATTAACGGAGGAACTCCAGAATATTAAATAGTACTTTAACTTTATATGAATAAAAAAAAGTCTATATGTAAGATAAGGGCAAGTCAAATAGTTATCAGAGTAAAATTTGCACTGAATCACACGTAGACTCTACCTAATTGATTTTTTAACGCGATGCGAAGCATGATAGCATTTCTGTAGTCCGTCGCGAGTTTAATTGTGTTTTCTTTTACTTTATCGACGTATACATTACAGTTTATCATTTTATATCTTGATGATCGTAAGAAGTAAAAGCCATAGGAAAGTCAAGCAAATACGAGATCAATGTATCGAGATCAAACTTGTTACCTCTATTTTCGAATCTTCAATCCGAAGTTCCATTCGCTCACAAATATCGTTCCGAAAGGACGAAAATGAACGAAATTTATCGTGAGATAATTAATCGACCAATCGAAATCTATCTTTAAGAATGTATCGCTATGTAAGAATGGAATTTTCAGAGTGATGAATATACCGTTATGGCTACATAAAATATATTCAAGATTTCTCTGAGTTGAATATTTTTCTTAGGAAATTCGGATTCTTGATTCGCATCGCATTTCGTATACGAGTGAAACTCGAACACCATCTAGTTAAATACTAAGTTTCAGTCGAACGTAAATTATGCCAGCGATGCTAATCTGAAAGAAGAGCATATCACGCGAGCGTGATACGAATAGCAGTAGATAAAGCAGTCAAAGTATCTTGTAACATACCAATACGATACACAAAATGTTACAAGGATTAATTTTTTGAGATTTATTGTGCATATTCGAACTTTCAGATCTATCTTTTGCGGCGTGTATCATATTTAGACAGCACTATAAGAAGATCACAGTCCAGAGTAGGTATTCTGCATCTGAGAAGTTTTTTTTTCTGCTATAATTTTGCCATTGTTTTTGCTCTCAGTTAGATGCTTAGTTAATCTTCATTCGTACTCTTGCATTTTATGCCAAAATGAATATCGAGATTCAGAAAACAAAAATACAAAGCATTCCGAAATAAAATGTATTATGAAAACGGTTCTAACTATATGTTTATATGATATGAAAATCAGAGCATAGCATTCAAGAGATCTCTTCCATCAGTTGCTGATTCTAGAGTCGTCATAATATATCTATCATCACTTGCAACATTATCAAAGATAGTATTTGCCTTTTCTAAATAATTTCTTTTATGTCTATTCGTAACAAATTATATATATATATATGTATTTTTTTAAATGAACATTAACTGTAACTATACGTTTTATTTCTAATATCACCAATTACTTGATACTTATTTGATATTTAGTTGAATTAAAGTAACTTCGTCAAATGTTATCGTCGAAGTAACAATATCATAAGCCAGTGTAACTTCAACAAGACGTGTATATATTATACGTATATGCGTAAATGATTAGTCATAGATTATAAAAAAAAGATAAGAAGCTCCATGCTTTGAGTGCGAACCAAAGTCGACTATTGATATCTACTACATTGCAATGATATAGTCATTGAGGTCAAACGTGATTATTCATCCTTTGCAGGCTTATATCTCGACTATGAATACTTGAAAACTGCAGTTTGTTGAATTCATTGAGAACTATATAGTATGATTGTGTAAAAACGCTGGTTCATGACTCATGACTCTTCTTCGTGTTCTACAACATATAGAAAATGATTCGAATGCATCAGCTTTTGAAAAATAAGGACACTATACGCTGTTATTGTCAATCTAATAAACTGTATACATCTATCAAACTTCATGTTATGTTTAGACCGCGTAGTCGCAAAGGTTGTTCCAATTTTTTTTGACACGTGTTACTAACACAACTGTCGTTCTTTTGTCTACTATTTTCATGTATACTCTGTAGAAGTATATCGTCTACTAAGACGTAACGGATAAGGTCATCTTGTCTGACAATTATTCTCTCCGCTATCTAGCTAGTATATCTTTCCTTCTTCTTGTTATCCATTCATATGCCCTTTTCTTAGTCGTTATCTTGTGACACGTTGTATTTCCACGCTAAGTATAGTGAACTCTGAGGTTTCTTTACGGATTTAGATAGAATAAATAAAGAGTTATCAAATAATGATGAAACAGTTGAAATCAAAGTAACAATAAGCCTTCGTCGGAGTCGCGCAAAAGACATTCAACAAGTATATTTTTGATTATATTCTTGCATTCTACATGCACATATGTATTTATTCTTACTTTTATATGCATAGATAATTATTTTTGTAATGTACAGAACGACATACGTCTATCTCTTTCATCGAACGAGTATTGCTTCTTGGATTTCTCTCTTTTATTCTAAATGACTCAATTTTGGCAGAAGAGCATTGATATCAATAGATAGGGAATTCATTGTACGTTTATATGATGTGATGCGACTGGTTTGTTAGCTTCAACTCGAGAATGAATTATTTCTCGGAGATGAAACTGAAGAAAAAGATCTATAAATATATTGTTTTCATTAACGAATGACTCTATCCATATTCTCTTTTCTATGTTACGTTAAATGACCTAGATAATGTCTGTCAATATCTACGAATGGATGAAAGATCAACCTGTGCAACAGCTGTTGACTTTGAGTTATGATGAATAATATTTTTTCAATAACTATACCTATTCCATGAAATTTATTTTTAATATCAATAGAATAACCATATTTTTAAATTTAACATTTCTAAGAAAAATATGTAAAAAAAACCAACTCGTTGTGCACCAAATAGAAATCATTTAAGTTAGACTTGATGTTCAATCCGATAGAATCCTAAAGTCAAACACAATTTAGTTATAGACGACTTGACATCAAGGCTCAAAACTGCGATCAACTTTATATTACGTCTAAAAACAACGAAAATAATCTCTCAAAGCGTCAACGATCTCGTATATAAAGAGTCTTCGTTGTAGTTCATCCAGGATGAAGAATTCTTCTAATCATAATACGTAACTTAGATATACAAAAAAGGCTCCAAAACCTTGGATTTGACAATGTATAGTATAGCTTAGGTGAGATAGAGTGGTACAACCAACGCTCAACTTGTACTAAAGGCTTGATAAAACCATAAAAAGTAGTTTTTGAATTCGGACGCCCAGGTTGGCTATTTGGGTTTCAATTTTGAATATATAATGATGAATTGTTTTAGAAATAAAGCAGTTCTATTTTTAAATTACGTATAGTGAAAACAAAAACTTCGATTATGTAATTTACTGATGATTTGATAAAATAAGAAATTAAATAAAACCTAAAGGAGAAGTAATCTATTAAAAAATTTCTTCTAATAAATTGGCCCCCCGGTTTATTTAAACAACATTTCATGTAAATAAACAAAATGTTATAAACTATTGAATATTTATCCTGATTGATTGAGTCAAATATTATAAACTTTGTTTGTTTCTAATTCTTTCTTTGTTGAATGCAATGAACAATTTTGATACATATTTTTGTCTAGGCAGTTTTCTTTTGTATCTACTTGCCGTATCTAGACATAGGAAATCAATTCCTTTCAGTTTGCACCATAATCGATAATGCCGTTTAATGTCAACTGACGTTTCTAAAAACAATAACGATAAGTATTCATTGAATTTTTAGTGAGTGAAGTATTCCTTGTCCAATCAAGTTCAGCATGACGATCCGGTTTATTCAACAAGAGCTTATGAATTTCGATTGAATTTAGTACCTATTTTTAATTATCGCGTTCTTATGATGCTTTAATTGTAGCCATGGTCAATCCTACATAGCGCTGGGTAGCGAAGCAGTCACTAGTGGAATCATTCTAATCAAATGACTCGATTACGAAAGCGACCTATGATTGACAATTGTATACAAGTGTTGGTTTAAGCATATGATAGAAGATAAAAATTGGTTCATGTAAACAAAATTTGCAAAACACTTGCAGATTTATGAATGTTCTTCACCAAAGTTTCACTAGTGTGTATGTTTTTAAAGAATTTTCTTACTAGTAATAATTAATTATTTTCTACTCAAAATTCAATTGAAAAGGACTCCAATTGATTTGAAGTAATTATTTAACATGAAATTATATATTACAGCTAACTAGACTCAATTTGATTTACGCAAACATCTGTTAATCACAGTTTATCTCCGGAATATTAAATGATAATAATTTTTCTATTGACAATTTGTGACTTTTTTTGATGTTAAATCAACTAATCCATATCTGAGCAAATTGAATGCATTTACTTCTCTATTTATTAACCTATTAGTATTAATCCTATAAATACATGTAAATGGCTGAATCCTTTAGTGTCAGGACTTATATAGATCATATATGTTTTTAGTCTGATTCGAGGTGTGGGTGTGCTAAATCATATGACATTTGTACTCATTCGCTTTTCATTTTAAACGCTTTAGAAGATTATTCTATTCCAAATACTTGTCTATCATAATCAAGTTTATTTGAAGCTTATTGTTGACATTTTTCAAATCAAATGAGTCTGGCACTAAGCACTTATTGCTAATTATGGATGTATTCAGCAATTGACTTTGTATATGAATTCCTATATAGTATTTACTGATAAAAAAATGACTTTACTATCTTGTTTAAAAAAGGTTGCAATTGAAACAACAAACAAAAAAATACATAAAATAGAATCACTGAATGTCGAACGATCCAAAATGAATATCAAATAGTACAACGATAAAAATAAAACGAGCTAAAATTATTCAATTTCGTTTCACTTGTTGACGTCGATAATTTTCCATTATCACCTAAGAAATACCATATGGAACTTTACTGTGAGAAGGTTTTTCAAAGGTAGTGAGTGTCAAAATTCTTGTCTTTGAATACTATTGGGTCGAAAATTCGACATTTTGAACATTGACTTAAATCTGCAGAATTTTACTCTATCATGCATAAAATTCACTTTCATCTCTTTGTTATTTCCTTTTCGAAGACAATTGAAAATTATCTACGAAAGATTACATGTATATTGTTGTTACTAGATAACAGATAAAATTCGCTTCGTGCAACTCGCACCACTACTGACTGATAATATTTACTTATCTTCTCTGCGTGACACAAAAAAACTTTTTTTTTCAAGCTTGCATCACGAAAGGAAAACTGCAATATTTTTGAATGAAACTAATTCGAAATAATATTTCGTTTTCTTCTTATCATAGTACTATCCATTGGCTGTCTCGAATAAAAATTGCATGTATGTAATAGTTCAGTATTTGTATATGAAGTTTTAGATATGACTTTTCAGCAGCTTGAATTAATTTGACACTTCTTTTTCCGTGGAGATCTACACTTTAAAGATGAAGAAACGGATCGTTTTCTTTCGCTTGAATTTTGTTCGCGAGTGTTGAGACTATGTGAACAATTACTGCATGCTGTATTTTCTAAAGAAAAAGATGGTAATATGAAATGTATAGAAAATTGAATACTATCTTGATAATGGTTTCCGCTCATTTTTCTACATTGAGAAGGATTCAAAACATGTAGAAATAGCAATTAGTCAATTATCTTACTTTCAATAATTTCATTCAACATAACGGTTGTATTAGTAAATCGAAAGAGTTGATTGTTATCATCGCTATATCCAAGAGAGAAAGCTAATCTTGCGCGAGAAAGTTCGTAGGCATTCTTAAAATCTTTAATAATTTCGCAATTCACTCGATAATCTAAATATGTCATTCTGAATATAAACTTATTATAGTACAATATTTACTTGTAAATTGAGTTGCATTAAATACTGGCAATGACGACAAACCAGTTAAACCAGGCTGAAGTGTTTTAATTATCACGAATTTAAATCTAAAATTCAATTTATGAAAAAAAAAGACATTTTTATTTTTCACATAAATACAAAAATAACTTACGTGACTTTTCAATCTCAAAAATGTTCAGGTGTTAAACCAACGGGAAAAGGATTTCCGTCCAGAGAACTACTATTTGAATTATCTAATTGAAATTTATAAGGATGCAAGTAGTATTTTGATTATCAATGAGTACTGTTATAAGAGCTACTTCAAGGAAGTAATTTTCAAGAAATTTTCGAAATTCAGAGTTGCATGCAAACTAACAATTATTTGAAAATACAGTACTCAAAATTTAATTTTATATCTATACTTTGATAGTAGCAATTTTCTTATCGTCAACATCATGAATATAACGTGGTGATTGTGCTTTATTTGTATTCATACCGTCACGAAAAAAATAATTCGTTTTATGTCGTGCATCAAAGGTTGACTTTAAATCTTTTGATAAAATCAGCTGCTTAATAAACACGCTATTGACAACAGCATAATATTGACCTAAATAAAACAAAGCATGAATCTGTTTTCATCAAATATTATTAAAAACAAAGAAATATACTAGATGATTTTATTGTGAAACAAAAGTCATAATAAAAGTTTCGAATAATATTACACCTACTTTGATTTGAATTGACTGGAAGAGTTTCACCATAATTAGTTGATATTTGTCTCGGCCGTTGACATTATTATTGATTCCATCAACAATGTTTTCATGGATACAATAGTAATCAGTGTGTGTCAGAGAAGCTAGTCTATAAATACAACATAAATCAGCCTTATTACGCTAGCTTTTGGCATGAAAGAGTAAGTTTACTCTCTGACATCTGTTCCATTATTTCATGACATGCACAAAGTTTTGCTAAGCTAGGGATAAAACGTCCATAAATGGTAAAATAATATTAATTAACAAAATGAACGTCGATATGTTCGTTGAATATTTATTAACAAGTCGTGCAATATGAGAAGTGATATAAAACTAAAAGAATAAGAGATTAGCACCATGAAAACATAGGAAAAAGAAGTTTCTTTTATCTTTATTATTATTTGTTATCAATATCTATCCATGTTTTTTTCCCGACTTGCTTTCTAGCTTCACAATGGCTAATATTATCTATGAATTCTTCCTTCTTTCTTCTTTGTTCTGATTCATTTTTATCTTTGCATTGTTGTTTGTTTTACACCGGCTATAATTTTTCCTGTTGCTTTCCCAATGTGCTAGCAACCATAGCCTGCCTGAACTTTTAAAGCGAATAGAAACAAATTATAGAAATAACTGATCTTTTTCCACGATTTTGCTTTTCGAGCATCTTATCATCACTCACAGAATCAGTTGTTTTGAATTGGTGAGTCATTATGACATCGATGAGAAAGAGAACAGAAAAACAAAACAAACAACACATTTTTGTCAATCATACTCATTTTATTCTTTATTAGTCACAATATTGAATTTATTTATGTATGTAATTTAATGGTTAGACTTCATTACTCTACTGTGAACCTATGAAGAAATATACTAAATCATTTATATAAAACAAATTTTGTTCAATGAACTATCAATTATCAACTATTTATTGTTATAAGTAAACTGATAAAAATAATTCAGCTCGTATTATGAGTTCTAAATATTTAAATAGAATGTGCAAATACTGATACAATGATTTCGAATTCCGAATTGTAATTTTTTTATTAGTTTGTTAATTGTATTTATAAAGATTGATTGATCAATCGTTGTTTTTTCCCCTATCTGTCTCGTTTATGTGCATATTGATCTGCAAAAACATGGATCATGAACGACAATTACTTGTTCGTCTGCCCGTTTGTCTAATCCTTGTATAAGAGTTTTGATCTTTACATAGCGTCAAAGAATAGACAAAGGATGCAGAAAGAACGGGCAGGAGCAAAGTTGACCTCTGAACAACCTTTCGGCCACCACCACCATCACCACCAGTACGAATATATGCACACACACACACATAAGAGAGAGAGAGAGAGTGAGTGAGTGAGAGTGCGTCAGTGAGGAGGAGAAAGAAGATGTAGAGAAAGTATATACACACGGGGCATACACACATGCGCAGCAGGAGTTACAGAGGACAGAGACAACAGAGAATGGATAGATGAACGGACGAGCGAGCAAATGGCTCGACCACGAACTTTCTCTCTTCTCTTGTCGTATGTGTGTTCTACGTGCATTGATACTCTGATAGTATAGGAGAATAAAAGAGTACGAGAGAGAGAGAGAGCCGTTGAAGAGAAAGTGATCGACGCAGAATCCCTTCACGGCAGCACTCAGCGAGCTACTACAGCACAAATTCTCTCTCTTCGCTTTTTTCTTGCTACGTGCTCGACGACGGCGTCCAGAAGATTCTGTTCGTCGTCGACGACGGCGTTGAGAGTTCTCATTTTTTTCTCTTCATTACCACCCTCAACACCAAGTCTCACAACACACAGGCATACACATTTACGCATACAGCATTCAGAGAGGTATAGAAGAACACGAAAGAGACCCTGTGTGCTTTGGATTTTTCGACACTCTGACAGTCAGTATGTCGAGGAGAAGCCGAGAGATGAACTTTACATATATAGAGAGAGTGCGTGCGTGCGCTTCTGTTACATGATCTGGAAAGAAGGGAGAGAAGGACGAGATATAGGGTAGGTTTTCGGGATGACAACGATAGTAAAAAACGCACAAAAAAAAGAGAGAATGCAATTTTAGGGGGGTGTCCTTCTATTTTTTTTTCTTTTATCTATAACACACGCACCGGGTTTAGCAAGCAAGACGTAGAAGCTAGAAGAAAGAGAACAACAAGAATAGAAATAGGGTGTTGGCTTTCGAGCTTTCGTTCGGGACGTGCGTGTGCATGAAGGTTCTTCATTTCTGCATGCGCCTTAGTTTTCTTTATGGAGCTGCTCTATAGCATCATTCAGTAAAACCATTCTCTTCAAACTCTCTTTCTTTTCTTCATACAATGTATCTACACCTGCTAATTCCTAGACTGAGTTTCATTCAGTGTAGTTATTGTGTTATCATCAATATTTTATTCTAGGATTTATAATCTTTACCATGATCAAAAGGTTATGATTTTCATATATATGAAAGTGAGAGCGAAGAAAAAACTAAAACATTTTGTTTTTAATTATTACTGCGTAAATGCATTTAATTTATCTATAAGAAGAATTGACTAGGGAGTAAAACAGAGCGAACGAGAAAAGAAACGTACTTCTAGTGTCGTTCTTTATGACTGTCTTCATGTGTATTACTGTATAGTAAGAAAAAAAAGCAACAGAATTGGTTTAATGCAATGCACTTTAGTGAAATAGAATGTATGAATCGTAAGAAGAAGGTTTCTGTATTATGTTTCATCAATGTACATATTCATGGCATTCTCTTATGTTGTTTTCTTTTCTTCTATGCATCGCTAAATAAAAAAAAAGCATTCCCATACAAGTATATACATATATCGATATACATATATATATATATATCCATGTATATGGACGATGTCCAATTTTTTTGTTCATATCCTTCTTCGTCTTGCCCTTTTCTTCATTCTGAAATTCTTATGCTTCTTCGTCTTCTTCTTTTTTTCTTCGTCTCAAACAACTACCAATAGATCAGATGTTGTTGGCGTCGAAAGAGAGATTTGAGTCAGTGACAAGCGGGCGGACGAAAGGAGAAAAGGGGAGAAAAGTCGTCGCTCGCCATCATCATTCATAGGTAGTGTAGTAGTAGTAGTCGGCCAGAAAGAAAGATTGTATATACAAACGCACACACACGCGTAGAATATGCACAAAAACACATAAATCGTCCGTTCAGCAGCCGTCCAGCAAACGTTTTCTCTGTTTTTTCTCTCTCGTGCGTCCTTCCTTCCTTCCTTTCCTTCAAAATTTAGACGGACACGCATAAACCTCTTTTCTCTGTACATAGATCCATTGACACCAAAACGTCGAATCGTGTATTTTGTAGACAACGTTCGCCTATTTCTCTCTATTCTTCTTCTCTCTTTTGCCTTCTCATCGAACGACCACGTCGAAGAACTGGCAAACTCCACATATAAGTTCACATTCTTATGCTGAACTGCTACTGACCGCACACACAAATTTATACGAAGGCAAATATTATGGACTCGGCAGTAGTATCAACGGTAATTGAATTTGACATTCATTGTTTTTTTCCTAAATTTAACTATTTATTTTGTCCGTAGAAATCGAACGTATCACAATGGGATGCTGATGTTGTTGTTTCTTGGCTTCATGAATCCAAATTTGGCGCATTTGAAAAAGTTTTTCGAGGTAAACAATAAACACTAAGTCGCCATTTTTGTAGTACCAAAAAAGATCCCATCGGAACAACCTAACTTTTGTTTTTTTTTCTTCTATTCGCGAAGGTCAAAATAATAGAGATATTATCTCATGTGTTGATTTTGATGAGAAAAAACATAACAGAAATATAATTTTTTCCTCTATACTATACCATAAATAATCGTGTTTATTTATTATGTTTTGTCTTCGGATAATTTAGACAACGAAATTGATGGTCCTACTCTTTTGAAACTTAGTGAATCAATGGTTGTTCGTCTATTTCCAACCATAAAACTTGAAATACAATTTCTTGATTTATTACAAGCACTTAAACAACGACATATTGCTGAAATGAATTCGAAAAAAACACTTCCTTCATCATCTACACCAACAACAAACGGACATAATGGTAATCGACACTCAGCAGCTCATCAAATAGCAGCACATGTTATAGCTTCATCGTCATCATTTGATAATGGCATTGAACAATCATCTAATTCGAATTCACCAGTTCCATCAGCTACAAATGGTCATCATCATTCTCGAGCATCGTTTTCTGAACGATCGCAAATTCCACAACGACTTACACCAAAAGGTCCACCATTAAAAACACTTAAACGTGAACCAAAATACTTTTCAAGTCCAGCCATGAGGTAAGACGAGAAAAACAAGAAAGTGCCACATTTTTCTTTTCCCATTCTTTGGCAGTCTTCAACAAAATGGAGATACAAATGAAAATGATACAAAACATACATTTCCTCATGTATATAAATTACCACAATTTCCAGATACACTCCGTTTAGCACTCGCTTCACAAGATGCAAGTGCATTTAAACTCCGTACATATTATCGAAATCTTTTAATCTCATCTATTTACGATGATCTCACTCGTACATATAATCTTTGGTAAAAATATTCAGTTCTATTAGTATCATTTAGAATATCGATTCGTTTTCTTCAGGTATCCAAATGCTCGGCAATATAAAACTGTAGCTTCGGCACTTGTTAAAGCTTATCCGTTTCTTGAAACATCAACAGACGGTGGTGAAGTAAGTGAAAATGAAATTTTTTATTTTTATTTTTATCTAAACTTTTAAATGATTAGGGCGCATGGATTGATGGAATCAAAGGAAAATTTAAACGTGGACGACGTACAGTTACATCTTATGTTGATGTAGCACAATCAATGACTGGTGAAAATGGTTATGATCGTATGTCCGGTGATGAAGAATTAGGTGAAGAAAAATTAGCACAAACATCGAATGGACAAAAACGTTCACGACACGAATTTGAAGTTGATTCCGATGATGGTCAATATGAATCTGGTGAAATGCCGACTATAGAGAAAGATGCTGTAAACTATTTTTTATTTCTTTCTGTGAAATATTCATTTTTTCATTGATTTTTGGAAATATTTTCTATAGGATCAAACAAGTGATAATAACGATGAAATCGACGAAGATGAAGCTAATCGTTTACGTGGCTGTATAACAGCAATGCAAGAAACATTAGCAGCAACTGATGATCCTGATATTTCACTTATATCAGATTATTTCAAAGAAACATTTGAAATACGACGAAATTTTGTTAAAACGCATAATACAACTGAAATTCTAACCGAATATCCAGCATTACAATTACATTCATGTGTTCGTATTGTTTAATTTTCTTTTAGTAAAATCTTATTTCTTCTTTTTAGTTACTTGCTGATTTTCATATGCAAACAAATATTCCTATTCAAACTGTTTTAATACATAAACTTCGTTCAATATCAAAACCAATCATACGTCTTGCAAAAGAAACAGGCTGTGCTCCAGATATACTTCTTTCTTATCATGCAATTCTATCTCAACGTCCACAATTAGAGCAAAGTAACTATTCGATTTTATTATTTATTTATTGTAATTTTCTGTTGTATTTTATAGTATTAGCTGATACATTCGCTATTTTAATTGTTGCATGTTATTTTGGTGAATATCAATTTTTACTTATAGCATCAGATAAAGTAAAAATTGAATTTTCTATAAAATCTCACTACTATGTTCTTGTTCTTCTTCTTCAAAAAAAAGGATACACAATCACCATGGCCAATAATTCGTGGTGAACATCCAGCAACAATGTTTTATGATGGAAAACCCTCGTCAGTTGCATATAATATTGAATTAGACTACGTACAATTATTTCATCGACCATTAACAGATTTTTTAACAGCAATATGTACATTATTTGCAACATACACAGTTTTTGAAATAACCTATGGTAAACTCGAAATGACATTATCATTTATTGATTGTTTACTTCGTGATAATGTACATTCACCAACACGTTCACCACAAGTACTTGAATTAATAAACGAACTCAACAGTATGAAAAATATGTAAAAAAAATCATTTTCCTCTTTGTTTTTGAGTTCGTTAAACACCAAAAAGAAACAATAAAAAATAGAGAATGAACACAACAACAACAAAAAATCTCAAACTTTGTATACATATCAACTTTTCTTTTTGTTTGTTTGTTTGTTTTTTTGTTTGTTTGTTTTTTTTTCTTTACTACAAAAAATATGAGTAATCTCTTTTTCTTTTCTTTTTTCTCATTGAACATCCAACTGTATGTGTGTATATATATTTTTTGGATATGATCGAAAGAAAAAAAAAACAACAAAATGTGGTTTGTTTGTTGATTTTCTTTTTAAATTTAATCTTTTAAACGATGAATTATGATAATAGCAATGAAATAGAGAAAACTAATTAGAATGCCAAATAGAATTCCAATTAGACGATACAGATTACAATTAGGTAGTAATTGAATGATTGTGTGAGGCGTTTCAGAAAAATCACTTTGCGTTATAACATGACCATTTGACGAATGAACTATTGCGTATAATGTAAAGCAAGATGCAAGAAGATAAGATAAACTTAATAATGAATATAAGATTTTAATAGAATATTTAGCTTTGATTGATATTGTGCCAAGTAAACGATTGAGAAGAATATAGATTTCAAATGAAAATGAAATCCATATTAATATATAATAAAAAAGTATTGATGAATGATCAAAACCAAGAAATTCATTTAAATATGTTTGACATGACGAAATTTTTATTTCAGATAATGTAAGTAAAATAATTATACATATAAAACGTATTATATGTAATAGACCTATTGAATGAGTTAAATAGACAGTTAACATGATTTTTCTGTTGTTATGTGTTACATGTGAATAGATACGATATTTTAATTAGATTTAAGAAAATACGAGCGAAAAGTATAAATTCTATTGTAGAAAGTGTTTTATTTATATTGTATTTTTTGTTTTGTTTTTATACGAGCGCTGTTACTACTTACCGATAATTCTGTAGTTGATATTTATCTGAATAATATTGTTTTTTTCGTACGTCGATTAATTGAAAAAGAAATGAAAACATCAGCATTCCCTTTTCTTGTTTTATCGATTCAATTTTTTTCTCTTGATCTTATTTCATAAGGTAACTAATAGAGTTTTGGAGACGCCCAAAGTTAAGCTGATACTATTACCGATCGATCGATGACATTGGCTCAACTTTGCTTTCAATGTTCTCATTGTATGAATTGTTTGCTCGGACATGAAAAAAAATGAGTTGCATTTAAGACAACAGACGATTGTCAAAACAAGCATCATACAAATACATTTGTTGTTTAGCTTTTCTTGTTCGATCTCGAGTGTTTTACTAATATTTCATATTGACAAATTGCCTTTAAACTGTTTTTCTGTTATGTTCGAATGAAGTTTTTCTTTTTCCTTCATTTATTTAGCTGTTATTTTTTTATTTTCATTTAAACAAATTATTCGTCATGTATGCACGTAAAGACATTCCGACTGTTTTGCCCGATGCAGTTCTACGTTGCCGTAAATTACAGGCAGCAGCTAATGTTGAATTAGACGCCATGGAGAAGACGAAGTTTCGTCGGATCAATAATCTCGATTGGCAACAACAAACGTTTCAGCGAACAATCACTGAACGACATAAACGATGGAGAGTGTATGATCGTGCATTTCGTATTAAATTAAAACGAGAGCTAGGTGCTGATTTAGCTGCAGCATTAAGACTTCGAACACAAGAAGAAGAAGAAAAAAAACATCTTTACGAACAAGAATTTATTGAAAAAGCATGTGGAAATCGAAAGCAAGATGAACCAAATAGTGACAGTGAAACTGAATCAGACAGAAGTCCTTCTATTTTAATTGAACATGTCGCTAAATCAAACAGTGCTCATCCAAGTAAGCTCTTCAATCATTCGATTCATTTTTTCTATAAGCAAACATTTTATTAATTTTTTCAATAGAATCTTTTCAACCAAAAGTGCCCATTATTACCGGATCGAAATCTGCTGTTGATAAACGTCGTGGACAAAGTGCTGGAACGAAAGTTAGCCATTCAGCATCGATAGCGAATGAAAAACGAAAACCGTCTCCTCGACGACCACGAACAAGTCGTTTTGATAAACAAACTCAAGATGATAAAGATTCAGTTTTAGGACTAGAAAATGACTTCGGCTCTGTTCTATTTCGAATATTATCGAATATTGCTGCTACACCTGATTTAGATGATGATTTTACAATTAAAAAACGCGCATTAGAAGCTCGTGAACGTCGACTTATTCTTACACAAGATGATCGATATTTCAATCTTGTTAAAGCACTAGCACCTCAGCGCTCATCGAAAGAAAAAAAGATTTTCGATGCCGATTATGATGCACAGAAAATATATTAGAGATTTGTATTATCTTTTATAGGTTTTAAGCGGAAATGTTTGCTTTTTGGAAAATGATGTACACATTTATATAATTATCTGATCAAAGCTTTATTTAAATTGTATGAATATGATAAATTTTACAATCGTAAAGCTCAGTTTTCTTTTTGACAGAATTTGTTTTTCTATTAAAGAATTTTATTTTATTTTTATCTAAAAAAAAATATTTTGTTCATGTCTAGAACGAAACATTATCTACATTCAATTCAAAGGTCAACATGTGTCCGCAGTCTATATGTTAGTTACTTACATTAATATAATCTCAGTCGTAGTGTGCGTTCATTATTTCTGAATTAAATTCAGTGAGTTACTACACAGAAGAAAAAAAACATTTAAAAAAGTAGTTTTACAAAAATTCCAAGTTCCTACAAGTTTTAAATGTAATTGATACAGACATAAATTACGATGAAAATATATCAAACTGTGGACCATATGAATAGTTTATGTTTTCAAGTTGATAGTTTATTAGTAAGAGGACAATTCATCCGACCTGGATCAAGTGAAACGCGTTCACTTCGAGTATTTGATCTCCTCTCGTGCTAGATGAACTGTCAAAGATGCGTGAAATTTTGAGAAGCGGAAGTAATTATTCAAATAGGAAAGAAACACTACACTTCCACTCGAATTGAAAAGATCTCTGAGTGAACAAGCCTAGAAAATGTTACTCATATTGACGTATATACTTTTGAAACGTCGCTAACATTTGTTTTAAATAAAAATTTATTTCTCGTTTTTATTCTATGAATTGTTTATTTGCCGTTCTCGTTTGTAATCAATACAAACCATAGGAAAAGTTTCTCGAGACATTTGAGACTTCGTCATGAGTAAATTTACAGCGTTTAAAACTATAGTTAAAATATAAATGCATTTACAAGCTATGATCTGAATGGTTACTTTACGATTGAATCATGCATTAGCATAGCACAAAGAGACAATCACTAATGAATAATTCGGTTGTCTTGGGGTTTAAAAAAGATGAATTACTCGTTACATTCGTGCAATCTCAGTATTTGTTAGGTACTGAAATGAGTGACTAGTTTGAATCGTGACTCATACATTCACTGACAGTAGAAGCGACAGGCCTTAAAGTAAAATTTTGTCATAGCTACTAATCGACAATAAATATGCTGTTAGCTGATTTCTGCCACATAATAAATAATTTCCTGTTTTATTGTCACACTACTAGTTGTGTGTTTTTTAAAAGTTTTTTTCTTCTATTTAACTTTTCAATATACAAAAAAAATAAGAGAAAAATCACGGCAAATACACACAATTTTAATATATTTTCTCAGCGCATACATTTCACAAAGATAATCTTCTACAAAAAGTACCGAATAGATATACTGTACAAAAACCGACAAATGACCAAAGAACAAACAAAAAAAGTAGAAACTTACAATCACGAATAAAGGCACGAAAAGAAAGATTACATAAGAAAAGAGCGTATCATCTAAAAAAAAGAAACAACTCACTAGGTATCACTAAGTGCCAAACGTACGCATTCTTCAGGTACTTGTTCAGGTGCTGAAATGAAAACAAAATATTTAGATGTATTCAATTTTTGTTCATATTTCTTACATGAAAGAAAAGAAGTGTTTCGTCCCATATCCATGACAGCTTGCGAAGCAGCTTGACGTAGTTGTACAAGCGCCATTGAATTTGCTCTCCATTCATTTAATGAACGCTGAAATTCGTCCTGCGACTCGCATGTGACTGTGTTTTGAAACGCATCGAATATACGCTTTAATACCAGTGAATATGGATAAAAATGCCAGTTTTTTCTTGTACGATCGGCAACATATGCACGAAATAGTGCATTGAGTGTTTCGCGTGATCGACTTGCTGTTGGCATAGTAGGTATACCATCGACAGGTAAACTTGCTTGATACTGTGAAATTTTTTGTTGTAACTGTTGTTCTTCTTGTTGCAGTAGATCAACTTCTGCTTTCATGTTGTCACGCATTTTTGCAGCTACCTGAATTTGATTTGCAGCTAAGAATTGAGAATGATTTATCTTGGGAAATAAATATGATTGAGTAAAAGTTTACTTACTGCATTCAAGCATTTGTGCTTTGCTTATTTTCGCATTTGTTGCATCGCTTAATTCTGGAATGAGATAACGGATATTTTCAAAACCATTCTGAAAATAGGAATTCGAAAACAAAATTTTATTTTGAAAAAGAAACAAACGACTGAATAAATGCATACTTTTATATTTCGACGCCGTTTCGTCTCCGCATTTTGTCCACCACTTGAAGATGACGATGGCGATGAATCGTGTGCCTAAGAAATCGATTAGAAGTTATCATATTTTTGAGAAATTCAGCTTATCGAATAGTAAGTTCAAGACTGCAGTTATATCGATTGTTCAGAAATAAGTAAAAACAATTAGATAGACTCTTCAGATCAACGGTTCACTCTTAAAACAGTTTAAAAATCTATTATATGCTATCAATAGATATCTCTCGTAGTCAGTCCCACAGAAAAATCAAAGAGCATAAATTCGCCAAGAAATCCTACACTGAGATAGATCAATTTGATCTTGAAAATAGCACAAAAATTTCAACCGAAGAGCTTAGTCTTTTGACTGAGGTATTGAATTTCCAAAAAAATTATCCGTCATCATTGTTATGACGAGAAATATTGAATTGTTCTAGAAACTCAATTTGACAACAACAAAAACAGTATTAGGATATGGTGAAGTTCTTATTTCTGATTTTTCGGTGCAAACTTGAATTAAAGATTGTAGCTCGGCTTATGTAGTCAAAACATGTAAGACTTTTGCTACTCTCATCGAGATATTCGTGTAACCAATATACAATGGGAAATTTCATTTCAACAAATAATAGACTGAACAAGTTTGATGTCTTCTCTATAATGAAAATTTACCATATCTCCATTGAAAAAGATAATGTCGTTTGATGCGGGTCCATTCTGATTGTTTGATAGTGAAGAAGATGAAGTAGAATATTGTTGCTGTGGAAAATTTAAGGGTGTTTCTTCGGAAGTTACACGAGACATACTGGTCTGCATTGTATTTCTTCTATTTGAGGGAGCATTCAAAGTGACTTCTTTTGGATTGGTTAGATTCTAATTAGAATAAAATCATAAAGTAAATGTTGTTAGATAAAAGATTTTTATTTACTCCAATTTGATTATTATCATTATTCATTGATAATTGTTTTATTTGTATTTGTGACTTTTTACTCAATGTTTTTTTTTGTTTTACAGCTGAGGTTTGCTTTTGTTGACTAGGTTTTCTTGCTGGTGGCATTGCTAGTGGTGGACTTCGTCTCTGCTTTAGAAGATCAACAAGAGTTGACGATTGTTGTGGTTTGCAAACCGATAGATCAGAATGTTGCCGTCTCATGTCAGTAGATTTTTGGGATATAGCTGCCTGTGAATTATTCATGATAATATTAGTTGACGGCGCTATAGATATATTAGTAATAGGCATCATCTCTTCAATATTCTAAAGAAATAAAACGGAATTCCAACGCTAACAAAAAAAAATCTAGGATCATTCACATTGGCATTCAATTTATTGTTATATTTCATTGGCTTAGACGCATTTTGTGTATAAGAATGGAATGATTGTTGTGGTGGTACTGGTTGATAGTGTATATTATTATACATCGTGATTGAATTCATACTATTAGGATGTATCTGAACATTATTCTATTTAGGTAAAACAGAATAAATAACATTTAAAGAACATAAAATTAACTTACATTGGAATTATTTTGGTTTAAAATACTGTTTTGTTGCTCAATGGTTAAACGTGGTCGTTCCATCGCAACAGAAACCAATGTTTGAAAATTACTTAAATCTTGCTGTGATTGTGGTGGTCCATCCAATGTGAAATCTGATTGATTTTGAAAATGATTTAATCCTGATAACTAAATTGAAAATAATTAAGAGTTTATAAAATATCAAAAGAGATTTCTTGTCTCTCAAAGAACGCTTTATTATCGAAATGAAATTGTATATCATGTAATCAAATATGAATTTCACGTATTTAGTTTTTAAGTCATTGAAACCTAACTACCGTCGATAGCAAAAGGAATACAGTGAAGCATCCATTTTTTCCTCGAAAATAAAAATCTATTCACCTCAAATAGTCGCCATGCGGCTATCCGAAAGTTAATCGATAAATTCTAGGATACTAACTGTCGTTTTTATGCGTGACATGAATATAAAAAGTACACTCGATCTATCGTAATGACATCAAATTTCTATTTTATTTCGCGATTTCTCTAACAAATCTCTCTATGAATGTTAATAATGTTTTGAATGTAAATCATCGAAGATATTAGTTTATGCAAGTTTACAGAGTATAGAAAAGTATCCTGAACACAACTTCATATACAAATTGACACCATGAAACAAGAAGATCAATAGTTGTAGCTGATCATACGAAAAAGAACCAAAACTTATAAAAAAAATGTCATTGGATTCGTAGAATTCCATTGATTTTCAAGGAAATTAATAGTTATTTCTCTTTCGAACTTCAAACATTATAGAAAGCACTATCTTACGGAATCGTTATTGCATCGCATACTAAAATCATCATCTAAATTAAAACAAAAACCATAAAAATCAAAATCAAAAACCAAAATTAAACTTTTTACTTGTTAATCCTGAATCAAATCCATCGAAAAGTGTATGAAAATCAAAATAATATTGTCCCATTACAGGCTGATACAAATCTGGATTACCCCCAAGTGCTATGAATAAAGAAAAAGAACATATTTTTCAGATATTTTAAAAATAAATTCAATAGGCAAGAAAAAAAATACGATCGTGGTTATACAATCGTAGAATTATTGAGGAAAATACAAAAAGCGATTAGAGTGTGTTCTTATTGTTTTTTGGCATTTAAATATATGGAGGATCCTAGTTAAATCGACTAGCATAAATATGCGAGCATTCACAGAAAAAGAAACAATACACATAGACAAACATTTATATGAATAACAACTATTTACCTGAGAATGGAGAATCTATAATATTGAATAAGCAGGAAAAGTAAAAATAAAATAATAACAGTAGAAAGAACAAGAAAATTATTTTGTTGAAAATCATTGCCAGAAATAATGTAATTGCGAACTCGTAATTTCTTTATCAATTAAGAAAAATTTACCTGCGTCTTTATCATTGAATGTATTTGTTGTTGAAAAGAGTAATTGATCTTCAATTAAATCAAGTTCATCAAATAAAGCAAATGTGTCTGGTTGTGGTGTTGCGACGCGTCGCAAATTTGGATTGATTTTTGGTGTACGAATTTCACTGATATTACCCAAAAGTCGTTTTATTTCATCGCTCTGAAATTAAAATATGAACATTTTTTTCTCGAATGAATACAAAAACAGCCGTACTGAGATATCAATTTCTACTCGACGTAAAGCTGTTTTAGAGTTTAATCTCCATTTAATATATTCTCCTTTTAAACCATTGATAATTTGTTGTTTCAATTGATGATTTATTTGAGTCTAGTCATAAGAATAAAAGAAGTTTTCAGCAATCTATTCTATTTTTTCGAATAAATACCGTGGATACTTGGGAATCTAGTGGGGAAGCAAATTGGCAAACAAGTGATTTTATTTTTCGAATATCTAAATAAAACAGAAATCTGAATAAAATAAATGTAATCGGCTCCTCTTATTGACTTACATTGTTGATGCCATGTTCTCCAAATGACATTATTTAAACGTATTTTATCTTGGCATTCAATACGGGAGCCACGGAAATTTTTCCATTTCGGCGATGTTAAATTAGATCTAAAAACTAGTCCATAGAAATAAGAAAAAACAGCAACATGTGTTGATTACCTATAGACACTATTAATAACGCTCAACAGAGAAACAAGACTAGCAAATCGGCCGTTAAATTCAGTATGACGTTCTGTTTCACCTTGAGCTGTATCATTAACTATGGGCAAACCTTGGGATGTTAATGGTTCATTTGGGTTTGGTATTGGTGATGGACATGGAATATCGATTGACTAGAATAACAAAAGAATTATGAGGAAACAAATAAAAAATTTAACTTTTTTATACTTCATTATCATCGATTCTTGATGTCATAAATTGTCCTGAGTACAAAGATTCTGTGACCTCGCCACGACAATTATTCGAACTTGAGTCTTGCTCAAGCTTGATTCGTTTTGCACATCGCGACATGATTTTTCTTCACATCAAATAATACGAAGAAGTTTTTGTTTTTCCTTCCAACTTATGCAAACAAAACAAAACGAAGAGTAATATGCCTTCGATAGCTTCCTTCTGAAGATTAGCTTATCAGATTGCCTTTCCATAACTCATATCGACCATAGCGACATTCATCATTGCTTTTATAATGGATCTTGTCGAAGACCAATCGAATACTCTTTTTTTATCGATGAGTCATCGAATAGTAACTGAGTCGAATCGAGTCGAGAAGCGTCGAAAGGAACATGATCATCATCATTTTATATAATTGTGTGATAGCGATGAGCCGATTTTGTCTTACCTTTTTATTTATTATATCATTTGTGAGTGCTGATGTTTATCTGCATTTTCCACCGGGCTCGAACGATCGAGTTAATGAAAACACAGCGGATCGTACAAATGAAAATAATGCATTTAATTCTCAGAATAATAATAAAGGTGGTTACAATGTTCCTGATGCTACTGCTCAGTCGTATGGTACAAATGCATCACTTCAATATTATCTTGTGAGTCTATGAAACAATAGAAAAACATCTTATGCCAAAAATGATCAATAGAGTTTTATAAATGTACTATTTTTTCGATGTGTTTGATATTATGAGGTTTTTATTGATCCCTCAAAACGATGAGTTATCAGTTTATTTCTGATTCATACATTCATGAAAAATATGATAGTATATTACAAAATAAACAGGCAGGTACATTGTTTGCGATCGAATATGATGGGCGTTTGATTATGACACAGGTAGATAGTGAGTGAATCACGTTAACGATGAGTAATAGTAATACGTACAAAAAAAGGAAGCTATGCTTGTATTTTACGAGGGAACGAACTGCACTCTTATCAGTAGTTCACATGATCAGTAGCATATGATAAAAGTCTCAACTGAAAATGATGTTTCTTAGTCCTGCCAACACAAATTTTCTTAGTAAACTATTGCATATGTTAATGTAGCACGAACAAATTCTATTTGATTCTTGTAATATTTAATTTTTTTAAATAGCAATTCTTTCAAAGCGGTACAACCGGTGCGACAGTCTTACGTTTTGTTTGGACTAATCAACATGGTTGTGGTGGCAATGAAGAGACAAATTCACCGAAACAAGTATGTAATCTTATTCTTCAGTACATGTGTCAAGATGATGATATCGACGACAATAATCTTGGTAATGAATAAAATTTTAAATCGAAAAATCTGTTTCAAAATTTTCTTTCAGATAAATTTCGTAATGGAGTCAACACAGTATCTCAAGATTATACGCGAACAAAAACTTCTGATGCAGCTGGTAAATTAGCTGATGTTAATACAACACGTCGACTTCATGAATCATGGAATTATTATGATCGATGCTATAATCGTGAACGAAACAAAGGTGAATTTCGTCCGTATTCTCGATGTTAACCGTGTGTTTTATTTCATAGGACTTTTCACGGCTGATAAAAATTTACAAGGTAATGGAGCTATTTACACTCGGCAAAATAGTGCAGGTACCAAATACGGTTATGAATGTCCTGAAGAACGAGATTATTGGCCTTATATTAGCCCATGGGCTGATATAGCAACTTTAACAAGTAATACCGATTTGTGCAGGTAAGTTTATTGAGCATTTTAAATAGTTTGACTTTATGGTATTTTATTTCAGTTTTTATCAACAAGAAAGTTTTAATGTAAAGCCTAGATACGATTGTATTGAAATACTAAATAATGTAAGAACATCATCAAAATATAATAATGCAGGCAATTGTACAGCAAATGGTGGTCGATGGTCATTATTATATTCTTATCTTGAAAAAGCTTCAGGTAAGATTGAAGTTTTCGAAGAAGAAAAGACTTCACCTTTTTGTTTAGCATACACAACACAATCATCATGTGAACGAACTTCATCAAGCCAATATCAATACAAATGGGCAAGTAAGAAAAGAATCCTTGTTTTTTTCAAAAGAGAAAAAAATGACGTATTGATTGCTTCAGTTCCTCATGATACAATGACAGGAACAGCAGAATGCCTTGTACTCCTACCTCAAGAAGGTCCATCGTGTGGTCAAGCATATTGGTCACGATCGAACTATCTTGGATTAAACTCTGATGCTGAACAATTAACGTATAGTTGGACTCTACCCAGTTTTCCATCAAATAACGTTAAACGGTGTATAGCTCGCATCCGTTATAACATTTCAACATTCGATTATGATTTGTATAATATTAATGCCAGTAGTAATGGGTAAATATTTATTTTTACTTTTGCGTAGAAAAAGTTTTATGTAAAAGTAAAATTCGATTCTATTAGAGCTAAATCGCCAGTTAAAGGTGATCCCGTTGTTACTGTTGATGTTGGTATCAAATTACAGATAAATTTGAATACAAATCAACTTGGACGAACATTTCAAGATCGAACACATATTTTCAAAATTTTACCAAGACCAAGTAAAGATTTGCTTTTTTACTGAATCAAAATTCTTTCTCCATTTTGCTGTTTGGTTTAAATCTAGGCGGTATCGGCGATAGTGAAAATATCTATAATTGGAATATGCTAGGCAAACGTGGAAATATTGTTCAAACTTATCCAGCTGTTGAATATGATTTTACGCCAAGAAATCTTGAAATTAACAGAAACGATCTCATTCATATACAATGGGCAGGTAAAATAGTAGATGCCCGCCTGAATTTTGTTTTCTTGATTATTACTAATCAATTAAATGTAGGTTCAAATACGCATAATAATGAAGGTAATTCTGATGGAGAACCTGGTGCTGAAGGGCAAGGAAATCCGGGTTTGTGATGAAAATCGATTTACCCAAATTTACTGATTTATATTTTTATACAGGAACCGATCGATCAAATCTTGTAGAAATTCGAGATCGCGATGAAAATTATCCATATCCATATGAACAAACAACATTTTGGAAGAATGTCAATGTTCGTTGGAGCCCAATGAATAAATCCAATGATAATATTCGAAAAGATGATCTTGCTCTTTATTTCGCTTCATCTGGTTATTACCGGTTTGCGAATCTCATTCTTTAATGTTGAAGATTTTCTATTCTTGATTATTCTAGTTGTCAACGTGCAGCTGATTGTACAGGAGCGAATAGCCCCTATACACTTGGAAGTCAAACAAAACAATTAGACAGTCTTCTCGACGTGGCTTCAGCTTCATTTGCAGGTTTGAATTTTGTTATTCACAATATTTTGTGTTCTTATTGTTTTGATTTAGGCGCTGTATTAAAAGTCAATCCAGGTACTTATTATATGATGTGTACAAGAAATAATAACTTCAGCAATCGTGCTCAGAAAGGAACATTAACTGTAACTTGAAAATCATCTCAAATTTTATTTTCCACATTTATATAAATAATTTTTCTCATACCAGCGAACAATATATTTTATTATATTTATTATTGAACTTGTTTTTAACTAATTTTCATGTTTTCTTTTTGAATAAAAACAAATTTTCAATATTTTTTTAATCTTGAATTTCGAAAGAGCTTACTGAATGATGAACGCTATGTTCTCTTTAGAACAACAATATATATTCAACTACTCTTTCTACAAATACCGATGGTGGTTCTCATGCTTGAAGGCCGCCTAGGGCGTATATTAAATATTACAATACACCGCTAAACAATAGTTGCTGACTATTTTTCTTCATCATTCGCATGTCACGAGGTATTATTGAAAAGAGATTTTGAATATTTCGATAATCATAATAGTTACAGGAGTTGATGCGCAGAAAAATAAGCAAAAAATGCCGAGAGAACTGCCTTTTGCTTTGGAGTGTATTACAAAAGTTAGCATTTTCCTCGACGCGTGTTTTTGTTCTATGAACTTTATTCATTATTCATGATTAGTAATGTCATACAATAGAGTGCAAATCTTATCTTTTCCATAAATGTCAACCACGGTTGGTGATCTGCCTCTGCAACAACGACATTTAAATAGCGGTCCATGATATTCGCATCACCATATGATCAGAGAATGCACTTGTAGACAAACCACATTAGAGTTTATGTAAATATCAAATTATTAAATCAATAAAAAAGAATCTAGAAATATTATTAATGCTACCGCAGCGTCGTGTTGAACAAAGATGGGCGAGGTATCTAAAAAAAAGCACCCCGTCGCCGTTTATTAGTTCTATCACCGCTAGACTCTTGATCGCCCACCTGTAATATCAAAGGGCTTCACTTGAAATAACAAACAATCATTTTTTTAAAGTTCTTTTCGTCTTCTTTAGGTTTTGCTGATTGCGAAGAGTTCGAAGACAAAGATATAGTTTTAGATTGTTTTACAGGTTGAAAATTATTCAGAGAATTCCTAAAGGAAGATTACAACTACAATGAAAGTGATTAATTATCGCAACTTTATTTGTTTATTTGACTTGAACGGTTCGATTTAAATGAATATTTAGTGAAATAAATTCGACATTTAAACAACAATCAGCAATACTACTTCTACAACAGTGAAACATTTTATTTATAAATTTCGTAAATATCATCAGATGCAAACAAAGAGTGGTAATTAAAATAACGAGAAAATATGTATATATTGTACATGTAGGATCCATTGAAACCATTTCTTCAACATCTACAAATGATTCGTCAGCAACTAGGACATCCAAAACGATCTGATGAGTCCTTTAGTCACTTTAAAATTATGATCATGAGAAATATATTAATCCTCTGCGTTATATAATAAACTCAATGCTGCTTCTAGGGTACCGCACCGCGGATAATAAAACTATAATTTATTCGCTGCAGGATTCGTTACTGGTAAACATTCAGAAAAACCGAGAGATCTTGGGATATTGAATTCGTCACAACTAAGTCGCCTTTCCTATCATTGTTGAGATCACCAAATATTATCGATAATGGCTTGTAACCAGTACTATAATTTTTTTGCAGTTGAAAAGTTTCGCTTTCATTGCCAAGTAACACACCAACGGTGTTAGTCAAATAGTTGGCTATTATTAAATCTAAGTATATATCATTATTAAAATCCACCGTCATCATATCGTGGGGCTTGTCACCAATGTTACAATACCATACAGTTTTAAAGCTTCCATTTCCATAACCGCGTAGTGCGTTGATAGTTTTGCTCCACTTGTCGGACACTGCCAAATCGATTTTCATATCATTATTGAAATCTCCTGATACCACAGCTGATGCCGACGAAATACCCACTGTGTATGTTGCTGATTTTCGAAAATTAATCTTATCCTTGCCAAGCAACACACTCACAGTGTCGTCGCCACAGTTAGCTACTGATATATCTAGGGATATAATCATTGTTGAAATTCACTGATGTTACCGAAACTGGGTCGTTATCAGTTTCATAGTTGATAAGAGTCGGAAAGTATCCATCCCCAGCGCCTATAAATAAACGAACATTATTATCACCGTTTTGTACCACTACCAAATCTTTGATGTCGTCATTGCTGAAATCAACTGATACAACACCATATGGAATTTTTCCAACATAATAGTTTAGTAGAATGTAAAAAGAGCTATTTCCATTCCCAAGCAGCACCTTAATAGTATTCTCCCCAAAGGAGGGGAGAACTCATCCGGGCATTCTCAGTCATTCCTAGACATTCGCAACCATTCCAAGTTATTGTAAAATTTTCTCCATAAGGATGGACCACTTTTCTTAACGAGACTTTAAAGTAGAGTCAGTTAGCATGAAACTTCAGATGTTTTTTCTTCTTAGCACGTCATACATGTAATTTATTGTTAATTGATGATATTGAACTTAATTTTAAATTAACGCAAGTAGTCCACCCCTACTCTCATGTAGTGTTACTTTTCATAAATTTCTATATCTGTCTTTAGAACCTTGCCATTTTCTAAAGGTTATAGCTTTTCATTGAACACGATTTACATAATTTTAAACTAAGTTAACGCATATTCAAAAGTAGTGGTATTAATCATTGAAAACTATGCATTATCCGAATTCAAGTACATAAAAAATATGGATGAAATGGAAAAAATTCATTTGAGATGTGGAGTACGTTTACACTAAATGTACAGCAGGGATTTGATCTCTAGGTCCTGAAAAGCATTGTATTTTTCTTGAGCAAAGTGATTGTATCGTTTTGATGATCAATTTTCAAAAAAATTGGAAACTCTCCTTATCTCTGGCTAATTTTGTAAGAATCCTCTGATCAATCACTGAAGTCATTGAAAGTCTTGCTCTCATCTAACCTTGGCAGTCTGCGATATCCGTGACTTCGAATTATTCTAAATCTTCCTCATTTGTACACAGTGAATGACTATTTTTCTATAATATTCAAGTAACTTTCAAGGATAAGAAAAATCGTATAAAGCAGACTAGTTAAATGAATTGTTTACATTCAACTTGATTTCAATAGTATTCAGTTAATTCGAAAAAAAGATACATTTAGTAGTATTATTTAAATAGTCCCTAGCTGAGCGACCAGTCGAATTCTTTACTATCTGTTTTCCTTTATGCTTGGTATCAATTTTTTAAACACTTTGTCCATTTTGCTCTTTACAATAACTAATATATCTATGTATGCATATTAAATCGAAAAAGTACATTTTTGTGAAAGTAATGGCTATAGTGAGTTTCCCAAGGTGAACTCCACGGATTTCAATGAACTTTCGTCCATGATACTGCACGATGTTATAGTAAAAATATCAAAAGACTTTGAATGGGTAGCACTTTCTTGCGAAGTTATGCTCATTTCTCAGATTTTCTTTTTTTTTGAGTTACCGGAAAGTGAAATAATCGGATTTTGCTCTGAAATTTTGTTAATACATAGGCCGACTGAACACTAAGACATCATGAAAATTTTAGCAATAAGAAATGTGTTCTTCGAAATACACTCACTTTTTGAAGAATGGACCCTTTTTTCAAAAACACTAGACAATCGAACTTTTTTGAAGGAATATATTTTTTCAAGAACATATTTATTATTGCTAAAAGTTTCATAGTGTTTTAGTGTTTAGTCTGTGTATTTATTAACAAATTCTCAAATCAAAATTTGTTTCTTTCACTTTCTGATAGCTCACAGAAAAGAAAAAAAATCTGAAAAATGCGTATACCTGTTGAAGAAAGCACTACTCGCTGAAAATAGTGAAATGTTCATGTGTGTCAGTAACAACATAATGTGATGAATATGAATAAAGTCTGATACATATTGGAAAACGATTATACTATTTTCAACAGGCTTCCTTTAGTCAGAGCACTTCGACAATAGCGATAATCATGTTTCTAACGAATTTTAAAGCTTTTGCATAGTTTGAACTACTTCAAGACATCAATTCATAGCGATTAATTGAAAGCCATATCTAGCCATTCGAATGGCTCGGAATGAGTTTTTTCTCTCTTACATCTACTTACGTGAATCAATGAAACATGACTTTTCTTCGGCCATTTCAGTCTGTTACTGAGTTGTGTATGTGTCGTACATATCTCTATCTGCCTGTATTTCCGTTTTGTTTTCACGCTGCTTTGAAACGCCTAGACAAAAAAATACATAATATTCATACAACAAAAGCGCATGTCATATGAGCCCACAAAATATTTTTCTGTTGTGCAAGCGAAACGATCGTCACTTGATTTGATATACTAGTGATACTAGTATAATGTTATATAAAATAACAGTATTTACGACAATAACTCAGTTTATTTACCAAGCAAGGAACTGAGTGGCCTATGATGACGATCGATAAAATTGCATTTTTATAATTTTGCTTTCATAATCATCCATTCATTTCACTACCTATTAGAAAGAGTATCATATTATTTCAACTGATGATATAAAAATAAGCAAATGATATATAGCAATATTTACCTATGAGTTACAAAGAAAGAAAAACTGATGCAGCTACGTAAGAGATTAATTTTGAAGTCTATGGCATCAAATATGTTGTCGGCTCCTAATGTAAGTCTAATAGAAAGAGATACGAAAAAGTTTGTTAGCGCAGCTCCTACGGGACTAAGATGTGCAGCTCACATCTATTTCTTAGACTGACTAAAATAATTTTAAATAACTCAAATGAAAATCTACCTTTATTTCCTAAATCAATAATCAGTTCATTACATATTTGCTTATTTCCTAGACTGAAGAGAGAGCCATATGAAATAAAATGTGTTATTTGCTTGGTTGTTTGCTTGGGTAAAAAAAAACATATATGAGAGATTAGCTTATTTTAAGACTTTCAGCCGCTTTGAGTGAACTTTGCCATAGGCTATCGAGGGCCCAAAATCCAAATCAGTGATTAGTTTTTTTAAATGAAAATCTCTGAATGTGAGCCCTAAAGCGTAACTCTAGCAGCTCTGTTTTACGTCGGAACTGAAGTCATAAGGAATCACTCACGACGAAATAATTGATTCTTTATATACTGTTGAGAAGCATGGAATTATAAATGTTCTGCAGACAGAATAGCGAGAAAGTATAATTGGCAGGTCAGATCTTTTAGCGCGTTTGCATAACCCGAGTATAAACAAATTAAGAATCAAGTAAAATGAGTTTCAGCATTTGAAATTCGTGTGTGCCTGTGCAACTGCTCACTACTTGATTAATTTAAATAGACGACAACTAATCTTAGTGTTGGTGTTTGAGTAACAGTGTCTTTAGATCAATTCATTGCACACGGAATATACTGTCATGTATATCACGACGGAAAGCATACTAGAGCATGTTTTAACATGTACGATCATACCAATCCATTTTTTGGACCAAATATTAACGTTTCTTAGTGTTATTTGAAGCTGCAAAAATATTGAATTAAACAAAGATAGCTAAATATTCAGTCGAGGGTCAAGCGAGTCTTGCGACGAGCGTTACTTGTGTCTGTAATAGAGTGTTTATTGTTAGGTGATATTGTGAACAACGGCATACTAGTTGTTATGTTCTGTAATGGTACCCTAACCTAGTTGCTATGGTGTATAATGGGCAGGCCCTGCTTTTTTCCTATAGTGTGTAATCAAGAAAAAGAAGAAATAGCAGTCTAATTAGTGTAGCTACTAATTAGCATAACTTTAAACTCATTGATGTCTGTAATAGAGAGGGGGAGCCGCAAAAATCTGGCTTTTAAACTTACACTCACCATTTTCTTCGAAAATATAGGTGAGCTCCATCAAATACAAGTAAGGTTATACTTTAGTTTCCATTTACTTTTCTCTTTGGCTTAGATTTAAGTGATTAGTCAAATAGATGGTATGATCAGTAACTAATTACTGATCTTGAGGGTGTGGATATGGGTTTTCTACTTCAAATGGCACATAGGCGCCCGCCC